CAGGGAGAGACAAAACACAAATTGGAGGACTTGACTTTTACGTCCTAGTAGTCCGAAATAACGCCATTAAAATAAGAAGGCATTATTCTTGCTTGTGTATCTTCACTGCAAAAGAAGACTTCTACTGCCAAAGACTTTAAAATTGAATTAAAAAATTCGAACCATGCTGTGCACGAAGAAATGTCTTCCAAGATTAATGCTGTAAAAGACTGATAGTTAAAGACGGCCCAACCACCATACACAGGAGGACTAATAAAATTGCTGTAAAGAAATCTTGGTTGCTCTATCATGCATGCAATTGATACTGATAAAGATGGCGTGGCGTGCGTAATCGATTGGCATTCACCAATAATTTATGTCGTGTAAATTCTGAAGTTCTTGACTAGGATAGCTTCAAATACAAGAAAGCATTTTTTTTTCCTCAACAAATTAAATTACAAGTAAGCTTGGCAGCTGACAAAGCAGCTTCATTGGCTTATAAAAACGATATTCATCCTACTAGTTTCAGGAAATTGCGAAAATAAGCATGGCAGAAGCAGAGGTCAGCAGCAGAGAAAGCAGATGGTCTCTCAAAGGAATGACTGCTCTTGTCACTGGCGGAACACGAGGCATAGGGTTGATGATGCTAGCTTTTTCTTTTTCCTTACTTTTCTTCAAATTTTCTTCTTACCACGCGCGTACACCAACGCTTTACTAAACAGAGACTTGAATGTTCTTCTTCTTCTGTTGTCCGTGAGTTGTACAGGTTTGCAATAGTAGAAGAACTAGCAGGGTTTGGAGCTGCAGTCCACACTTGTTCTCGTAACGAGACAAAGCTTGATGAATGCATAAGAGAATGGGAAAGCAAAGGTTTCAGGGTGACTGGATCAGTATGTGATGTCTCATGCCGAACCCAAAGAGAGAAACTAATAGAGAAAGTCTCATCTACCTTTCAAGGAAAACTTAATATCCTTGTATGTTCTTCTCCCCACCAATTTGAGGCTGCTCTAATTTGATTTTGATATTTAAAATTAACAAATCTTCATAAATATTGCTTAGGTGAACAACGCTGCAGCAGTTGTAAGCAAGAATAGCACAAAAGTCACTGCAGAGGATATGGCAAATACTTTGGGTACAAATGTTGAGGCTTCTTATCACCTTTGTCAGCTTGCACACCCTCTTTTAAAAGCATCAGGAAATGGAAGCATTGTGTTTATTTCCTCTGTTGCCGCTGTTGTAGCCTTACCTACACTTTCCTTCTATGGAGCGTCTAAAGGTGAGGATCTCTATGTATCTGCTGCAGTTCTCATGACAATTTTTTTTTTTTTCCTCAGAAGGTTGTAGTTTAATTCCAGGAGCACTTAATCAGTTGACCAAGAGCTTAGCGTGTGAGTGGGCACAAGACAAAATCCGAGCTAATGCGGTGTCACCATGGATCATCAAAACTCCTCTTTTGGATGCTAGTCTTGCTAAAAGTGCAAGTGAACAGGTAATTAGTTTGTGTTCTGCATAGAATTTTTTGTGTTGCTTGTACTGCAAATTTAGTTCAAGAATTAAACCTCTCAACATGCTTGGATTTTTACTCAAACTTGTACAATTTATGCTTTTGGCTGCACAATTTTCTTAATGAAAATTTCCTGTCTGCATATAAAATTATTTGAATTTGTATAAACTGATCGAAATTTTTTATCCATTTAAGTTATTTGAGAATATGTTCCCAACTAGAAGAGTTGGGAATTGACCTCCTGTAACTTTGATCCATTTGAAACTGTATTCTTCTATTAGATTTTGGAGGATTCCATCCATTTATTAACGGATTTTCGCAGGTCAAATTCATGAATTTGATTTTTGAACAGAAAAATATTTAAAATCACTAAGAATTATTCATGAAAAATAATAACTAAGCTTTTTTGATTTTTGAACAGAAAAATATTTAAAAGCACTAAGAATTATTCATGAAAAATTATAACTAAGCTTTTTTTTCATAAAAACTGTAAAACTCCAAAAAACAATTAATGAATATTTTATTTTTAAGGAACAATTATAACATAAGGACCCAATCTCTTTTTAAGTTTTTATGGGATTTTCTTTTTTACATGGATATTTTGTGTCACTTTTTAAATTAATTTTTTTCAATTTTTATGGAAAAAATCTTGTTATTTTTATTTTTCATGGATATTTTTCTATCACTTTTTATACATACACTTTCAATTTATTTTATGCCCAAATTTCAAATTCGTTTAAAGGTTAAAAAAAGTCAAAAGATCAACTCGTGAGTTCCACGGACAAAAATCCATTATTTAATGGACATAACCCTATAAAATCTAATAGAAAAATCTAATTTTAAATGGACCAAAATCACACGAAGACAATTTCAACTTTTTAATTGAAGAACCAATTCTCAAACACTTGAAATTCAAAAAAGCTTGGATCCATTTATTAGTCTTTCAAATTCAAGTACTGTTATGTGATCCCATAACATCAGTTTTCTTTTTTCTTTTTTTCTTTTTTTTTTTTTTTTTTTTTTTTTTTTTTTTTTTTTTGTGTTTCCTATGGCAGCGAGCTGGTATGAGTCGGATTGTCTCTCAAACTCCCATCAACCGCTTAGGGGAGCCTACCGAGATATCATCTCTAGTGGCATTTCTGTGCCTCCCTACTGCCTCGTATATCACAGGGCAGATTATTTCTGTTGACGGTGGATATACTGCCAATGGTGGATATACTGCTAATGGTTTTTGACCATCTTCTGGATAACAGAGGACAGTCTTTTACGTTGTTGGTGTTGTTTTTGTGAAAAAAAACTGTTTTATGTTGTTGGTCTTGGAGGTGTTGTTCTTAAAAAAAAAATACTGTTTTATGTTGTTCAATAACTTGTTTAATACAAGAACTAGCCAATGACTCGCACTAAGCTGGGTGCTGGATTTCAAATTATTTTTCAGTGTAAGAGAAGAATATGTTGGTATTGTGAATGTATTTCTTTTATCATAAATAAATTTAATTGAGAATTGAAAAATTAATAAATATGTTTAATGAAATATAATGAAAATTGAAGGAACTAATAAACTATAAAAGAGTTGTTAATATTAAATAAAGACTAAAGTGAAAAATTAAAATATAGATACATATGATGATATTTGATATTGTGATGTGGGGGTGCTCTTTGAATTTTTATTTTATAAGTAATGAAAATCAATATAAAAAAATCTAATTATTTGAAATAATTCCAAAAAGAATTATTTGAAATAATTTAATCAAATCTTTTTTTCTTTAATCAAATTCTATATTTGAAATATAGATACATATGATGATATTCTTTAATCAAATCTTGATTTTCTTATTGATGGGGTTTTTTATAAAATATCTTTTAATCAGAAGTTCTATTTAAAAAAAATTATCATGATATTGATAACAAGTTTTAATAAAACAAAATAATAAATGATGAATTGATAATTTTGATGTGAACATATTAAAAGGATATAAAAAATTAATATTAAAAAATTACAATAAAAATTCTAAAAGTAGGTATCTCTTAGGCATTTTAAAAAGTATACATATTAGCTCGATATATACATATTAAGAAATTAATTGTTAATATTACCATAAAAGACATTAATACTATTTAAAAATAGTGACATAATTCAATAATTATTTAACCGAAATCCAAACTCCCACGTCTAGTTGCTTATTTTTTTCTTAAAGGATGGACCCAATTGTTTGTTTGTTGTTTTTTTTCAAACTTGACAAATGATTTGTTGCCCACCCGGGTAAGTGATGCATAATTTGTCGGTATTTTTCTTTGATAAGTATTAGAGGAGGTTACAGTGACTGGAAAAATCATGTTCTATGTTCTTAGACTCTAAAAACCTAGAATTTAGTGATTTATTAACCCCAAAAAACATGAAAATAGAATTACATGAACCACAATAACTCCATTTCTAACAATAAAACATATTTTAATCGCTTTAAAAATATAAAATCAAATTAAATAAAATAAAATTAATTTTTAATTTATTTATTTTTAGTATCATTAAAGGTAAATATCATCTCCATTAATTCCACTGTCAAGTATGAATTTTCAAATACCAAAATCAAAGTTATTTGTAGTTAAAATTCAATCATTTAAAGCTTTCTCTCTTCTTTTTTTTTTTTTTAATAACTTTCTCTTTCCCTTTTAAGTTTCAAAAATTGAAATGCAAAAGAAATGAATTTGAGACCCAAATGAACATTTTAAAACATAAGGGACTAAACTTAAAAAATTAAAACTGAAGGACTAAACTGTATATTTATATGCCTTGTGATAGTAAACATGGAAAAATGCTATTTTTTGACCAATATCAATTTTTATCCTTGTAAAATAGAAAAAAAATTAGAAAAATGATAAAAAGAATAGCAATTAAAAAAATGAAAATCAAAATTAGATAAAAAAAATAACTGAAATAAAATGTTGAAATAAAACATTAAAGAACAAAATTAAAAAAAAATAAACAAATAAAAAACAGGGCGGGCAGGGGCCACTTGTTTTTACGCTCTGAAGCACGTGCTGACTCTCTCCCCTCTCTCTCTCTCTCTCTCTCTCTCGATCTCGGTGATTTTCGAAGTGGATGGCCTAGTATTTTCCTTGGGATGGAACAAGTATGGCCAGGTACTACTGTTCTGTGTTTCGTGATAGAAATTGTGGTGCTATATGCATACCTTTAGCTAGCATCGTAGAAATTTGTTATATTGGTTGCATACAGCTTGGCGTGGACGATTCAATGGTCGTAGCATTCCTTCTCAAGTTCCCATCGGAGGTTGTCGACCAAAAAGTGTTGCATTTGGCTGGTGGCTCACATTATTGCTAGCTGAAACACCCCTGAAATCCTAGGTTTGTCGAAACAAGGGAAAAGTTGGCAGTTTTTGCTAGGTTCCTTTGCCTGGATTTTCCCTTTATTGTAACTTTCCTTTTCTAAGCAAGTTTGCTTGGAATACATGTGACATTTTACGTTTCATGTACAATTTACATAACATGCGAGCATGCTTCCACGTTCCCCTTTCTCAGAATTAATTCAGATCTAACGAAGCATTACATTTGCAAGAACAAGCTCTCTTCATTTGTACACAAACCATCACTCCTTGTAATAATACAACAGCAGTTCGAATTACGTATTTTAAAATACGAAGGACATTTAGTTTGATGAGAAACACAACAGTCCCTCATATCCAGGTTTTCTAATAAAATCTCATCTAACGGGCCGAGGATGCATCAAATCTTGCCAGATATAGAACTCCTTTTCCTCTGCAAAAGCTGCATCAGCGGCCAGAATATGTCCAGTCTATGGAAACCTTTGCAAGCCTGAGTACATTTGCAGATGTTTAAATAATGTTGGCAATTGTTACAAATGCACATGATGTCAGGAATGATTCTATTAGAATCCAATTACCTCAACAATGAAATGTGCCCATGTGTTACTTAATCGACTTTCCATCACGCCCTTCAGGATGGTCAAATCTAGACTGCGGATCACCTGGGCTATCTCCAAGAAAACGCCACGATCATTGCAAAGCATCTGCAGCAGATGATAGTTAGCAAATCCTTGTAAAGCATACAAAAGTTCCGTTGTTAAGAAAATTTAAAATTGCAGGACCTACCTCTATGAGGAGGTGTCCTGGGTATGCAAGGTCTTCCACAACAATAGGACATATCTGTAGATCATTTCCAAATTCAAAGGCCCAGCTTTTCCCACTTTGGATATTCACATTGGTTTCAGACGATCTGCAGTTCTTGCGATCAGCAACCTGTACGCATGCCAGTTGAATCATAGTGAATTTCAGTTACACAATACAGAGTTAACCTAATCACTGGAGTGAGTTCTCTTTTTTATTAATAGCTGTTTTGCCCTGTTAGCATAATCTGTTGCGTTTGATATTAATTTTCATTTTTATTTTTTTTCCAACCGAGTTTGGACCCAAACTAACTGCTTCCTCATCATGCACTATCATCAGACTTCACTGGCCTTTATTATTTTGCACAAACTATAGTGAAATACTCATCCTGGTCCAACAAGACCTGACCTAGTCAAACAAGGATCAGGTCCCTGGGATGCATCATATTGTCAATAGATTTCAATGGATGCTCGTAGCTGACATTCTAGGAATGGGTTAATTTAGTTTTATCTATTGAATACCTAAAAAGAAATTGTTCATTGCCTGCTCGTGACCTGACTCGATTATAATACACAGCTGTTAGGTGCATAAATGGGTGTTTGAGGCTTTCTCCACCTCTAATCAGAGCCATTTGTTCATTTGAACTTCAAACTTCTACCAAATTTGAACGACCATGCCCTAGATCAGTATCAATTTTTCCACATCCAGGAAATCTCTCTCCTGGTCTCTGAACAACTTTTCTCAAGTAGTTTTGAGTATGTAGCCAATGCTGTCCATAAAATAAAAGAACACCATTAATAATATTTCATCTACACTGACTATGACTAGACCAATTTGGATGAAGTGTAAGATCTATTGCTCTGCGATTTTCCTTTTCCCTATTTTCTTGGATAAGAAAATTTAAATCATTCTCATTACAATGTCGACCAACTAAGCTTGCAGCAGTAGGATGCTATCTTATGAATGTACCAAGTTTTTTCTTTTCTTTTAGTTTGACTGCCAAGGGTATCCTTAAGCCAGCTTGCATATCAACCAATACTAAATCATCTTCCTAGGTAATTTTAAACACTTCCCACGTCTATCTGGTGCTTCTAGGTGAATAAATTCCTCAAATGCTAGCTCCAAGAATTGAAATCAGAAAGTCAAAGGATGGAACAAAACTCCTTGACCACCAATTATTCTCAAGTTGATTACAGCTTAATAACACATCTAATGGTTTTCTCCACACAATAAAAAAAAAAAGAGACACAATAGCACATTTAATGGTACTAATTGATGCAAGTAATTTAACTGGCAAAATCAATGCATCGCCAAGAGACTGATCGACATGAAGCATCTATGAGACCTGAAGTGACTTCACATACCTCTTGATGCACCCACTGCCTCAATTTCTCAGCCTGGTCAGTCACACTTCTTAAATACTGCATGTGCTTTATGGTTTGATCCAAGAGGCCATCAATGCTACACTGCATTTACCACACACCACCAAGCAAACTTATATACAGAATATGAAAAACATGGGAGATAACTCTGAAGTACACAGAAACCCAAGAAACCTCACCTTCGAACCATTTGGGACAAGCTCCCTCAGCTCCTTTACCCGGTCCTGGATCAGCTGCCTATCCCTTGGCCTTGGCTTTTGGTTTTCACCAGGTCTGGCCCTTCTTCTGGCTACGTTTGACATCTTCTGGCCTTTCCAAGGGTGCTTGTAACTTTGATCCTTTCCCTGTTGTTCCTGGTCAAAAATTGTACTCATCATGCTATCTAAAGCAACTGTAATATCAGTTTTTCCACTTCCAGAAATACAAACAGATGCTAGATGGCTCCATGGTGCCAAATCATCCCCCACCAACGTTCTTGTTTGAAATTGGTTTTGAGAAGTAGCAAGAAGGTGTCCTGACAACCTTTCAGATGACTTCAAACTATGGGATCTGTTAGAAGACGCATTATCTGAACTGCTATATGAATTGCCAGCCACTGGTTCCAGCAGAAACTCGACCTCACCTTCTGTAGCAAACAAAGAAGGCTCAATTCTTGCACTGCGATCTTCGCTGAAGATGAAATTTGAGCTCTTGCAACTGTCCTCCACCAATAAAGATGGTTCCCATGTTTTTTCGTTGGTCTGGCTCAAAAAAGGTGGTCCAAGTACTTTATGCAACTCACTGCCTTTGGGAAAGCTAAGAAAACTCTGTCTATTTATATGATACACCTCATTAGCATCCATGCCTCCAGATGACTGCTCTACCATATCTGCAGCAGGATAAGTATTCATCATCCCATCCAAGGGTTCTCCAAACCATCCCACATTGTACTCATTACAGTCAGAATATGCTTGCAATTCATCCATCAGATAAGAGAGTTCAAATATCTTACTCTCAACCATCCCTGGTTGGCTGGCGCTTAGATATTCACTTGGAGGGGACACATCAGCAAAGATAGGTGATGGAGTATTATTTTTGCTTTCACATTTGAAATCTTCTGGTTGCTCATCTTTATGTAGCTTGACACTATTGACAGGTATTGAATAATTTGAATCTTCACTTTTCACTTGGCTAATGGAAATAGCTGAAGTTGCATTTAATTGCTCAACAGGACAAGAGATTAGTGTAGACTGAGCTTTAAACTCCCTCTTTAAAGTGAGAGGAACTGCATGTTCTCTAGTACTGTGAAGATCATTGAATCTACCTTTAATATAGGCAACTATTTGAATATCTTCAGCAACCTGATAACAGGAGAGGAAAATAAATCCTCACAGGAGATGAAACAAAGCAAGGCAGAGGCATGCTTTGAACACACACAAGCTCGCAGATACCCACTATCATGCATGCATACATGTATACATGCACATGGGACACTGATGACCTCATTCTGACATCCAGGATCCGGCATCCATTATTTTTTATGGGGAGAAAAATGATATCATAAGCATATTAATAAATTACACAATTAAATCCCTTTGAATAACTTGACAAGTTATCCACAACTGTAGAAACTGCCTAACAATAATTACCATGTCCATTTCTAGTGCATAATGATGACAGGTAAAAATAACTTTTCACACCTTTATAGCAACCAAATTCAAATAGTAAACTGCCTCAACAGAATATGAGTGCAATAAAGAAAAAAAAAACACATACCTCGTCAAATGATCCAAGCTGCACAACTCCATGTGGAAGTACAGGCACCAGCAAGATAGTCTGCACATGAATCACATATTCACTACTGACATTATCCATTTGTAGGAGGACTATGATAAATTTAAATGTTCACAACCACCTTCCAGCATGCATAAGCAGTGCCAAAATCTCTCTCTCTCTCTCTCTCTAACACGCGCACACATGAATATGGAGGAATCAACAAACTGAAGATGATGATCTATTGTTAATAGAATTTAGAATTAAATTACCTTGATACCGGATGCAAACTGAAGCAGCCATTCTTCTGGAAACTGCCAGTGGAAAGAATTCCATTTTTTAGGTTCTGTTATTTTCTGAATATAAACCAATTTGGTTATTTTGATTATCTATCTCACCTCAGGAACTAAATTCTTGCTCATTTCACTAGAAAAAATACTGTTGAACGAAAGCCAGAAATGGTCCCCTGTATATGCCACTTCACCAACGACCCTGAAAAATTTTGGGATCCAAAATCAATTATGCCCTTTCAGACTTTTCAATGACATGCATTAGATAAATCCTCGTTTTTTAAGTCGCAAATTATCTTTTAAGTAAATATATGAGATTGGAAGAAGTAAACAACAGACAAATTATACAGCCCTCTAATTTTAGATTCGTGAAGTACATAATTGCAAAGGATCTTATCGAACGAGTTTAGAAAAACAGAGAGGGAAAAAAAACAGAAGCACTCGAACGAGTTTAGAAAAACAGAGAGGGAAGCATGTTATATTGAATTATATGAGTCAAGCATGGGATTATACCCCTCTCCTAAGGGATACTGAAGATGCAACATATCAGCCACGACAAGTTCGAGTTGATGTCCCCCAAAGTTAGCATTAGACGCACTCGCATCGCGGAGGGAAGAAACTAGATCATTCCCACCATTGCAGTAAACATCTGAGGATATAGTTTGCAAAGGTTCTCGTGGTTTTGGGCAATCAAAATACCCCTCTTCCCAAGTCAAAATCCTGACACAGAAATGAAGATAATTAACTTCAAGTAATCAGTTGTTATGTTTGAAATGATACTAGACTATATACATAGGCAGACATAGAATCAAAATGCGTGTCTATTCCAGTAAAATTTATTATGGCAAGATTGTGGAGCAATTAATAACCAGGGATTTTACAGCGGAATCACGTTTCCTTAAGAAATTTCTCATGAATACACCATGTAGAAGGCCTGCCTAAAACCTGACTAAGGAGGGACTTAGTCTCCTTGAACCAAAGTTGGCCCGAAGATATCCTGACTGTGGAAACCAAAAGAAAACCTTCCAAAAGATCAACCCAAATATGATGGGACAGCTCTCAGAAATGTTCTGATTAGCAGGCATGAATTAAAACATCGTAGCCATATATGAATCCACTAACCAACTGCAGAGCTATTAGAAAATACTCAATGGTAATTCATTCTAGTTCAGACATTTCATTCTGCATATGTCAACAAAGTCCTTCCAACCAGTCACATAATTGAAATCCATCAAAACATCAAATTAATGTTAACTGTTTCCAATATATTAAAAGAGAAACAAGAAGATATCTACAGATTTATCTTACAGTTTTACAACAAATTACAACCCATAAATTCTAGAACAGAAAAAACAGCCATAGAATTAAAACAACATATAGTCAAATAAAACATCTGATGAAGAAAATGGGTTTGGCAACAAGAACTTACATTGGGCTCCCATGTCCCATCTTCCAAAGAACAGCATATTTCCAGTCTGAATTATTGCAAAGACTCTCCAACAGCTGTCTCAGATCAGTAGTTCCCATCTGTTGACTTTTCGACAAAAACACAAATCTTTACTACATACAAAAATTTCTAGCCAAATAATTATTTCTATCCCTATAACCCTTCACTAACTGCCCCGATAAGACCCTCGTCCGGCTTGTTTTATCCTCAAACCTGCTCTTCGTTTTATTGGTGGCCCTGTCGAATTAAGTAGTAAAAATCTCATTTCTAACATTAAACCTTAACCCCCTTTCTCCCTACCTAGCTCCCAATTACAAACTCTTTCTTACGCAATTTGTTATAATCACAGCGCTCAAACAACACAAAATAAAGAGATGGGCTTGATTTCAACAGTTCTTCTGTTCCAGTATTCCATGAAATTTACTGCAATCAAACGAAAGCAACACTCTCTGATTCTTCTAATTGCCTAAAATTGAAGGAATGGAAGAAAGCAACACTCTCTGATTCTTCTAATTGTCTAAAATTGAAGCAGGGCTGAAGCAAGATCCACTACCCAAAAACAATAAAACAACGAAAGATCAACTGATTAGTTACCAGATATTTGCTTATATATAAGGGGAGGAGAAGAAAACAGAATTGGAGAATCAGAGAGAAGAGTTAGAGAGGTTCAAATTCGGTGGATTCCATAATGGTGTTGGGTGGAGACGGAGAGGGAGAGGGGAGGGCAAAATGCTTTTTTTATGTAATGCTTTTCCACTCGAAACAAAAGCAATGAATGAAGTGTGTTGCCCCCATTAAAGCTGACTTTAAATAGAGTGTTTTACTACTTACGACCTCCGCCACCGGTAACTGGTTACATCGTCACTTTTGTTTGTGTCCCCCTCCCCCCTCTGCTTTTCTACATTAAATTTATCCACGATGTCGGAACTCATTTACTTTGGATACGTGGGAATTCCACGCCCACCGCTAGGATGGATGGATTCTTTGCAGACAAAATGCGATAATAATAATATTTTTTAATTTCTTTCTCGCTTGCTCTGTTTTTTCCCTTTTATACTATTTCTAAAAAAAATATGTAGAATAGGTAAAAAAGTTAAAACATAAAAATATAAAATCAAAAGAATTTATTTATTTATTTATTAGGAACTAATTTATAATTAACCCTAATAATAATAATAAAAATAATAAGGAGGAGGAGGATTAGGGATTGTAACCGTAGAGCAACCAATTCATCAATAAAATAGTTTGGTTGGATCTAGTTTGAACTTTCCAAAATTCAAATATTGTTATGTTGCAATTTTTTTGTCATATCATTATGTATATCTGATGTTAACTCGTAAACTATGAAACAGCAACATGCTTCAAAATTTATTATGTATTCATATTGTAAGTGAAATCATAATTAAAAAAATTATAATTAAATTAAAAGTTCTAACCTAAATCTAAATGGAAAAAAAAAAACCTCAAAAACTACAAACACTAAGCTTATAACCTTATTTGAGCTTAAAAACAAAACAAAACAATTGATAGGCTAGCAATCCTATTTATGTTTTTAGAACAATGCAATAAAATTTCAATTTAATTTAATGATTGGATAAGAAATTATACTTGTTTTATTAGATTGGACAATGTACTTTTTTGAAAATTTTCAAAATCTAGAAAATATTAAAAATTTATAAAAATAATAAAATAAAAATATTTATTCTAAAAATAATGAAAAGATGATCAAATATGTTGTAACTCAATTTTGACCCATTGACTTTTTAATTTAATTTTACAGGGTTTAAAATATAAAATTAAAAGATCATAAATATATTTTGATGAAAAGTATTATTTGTCAACTTGCATGAAAACTAGAAAGTACAATGTATCAGGGTTTAAAATATAAAATTAAAAGATCATAAATATATTTTGATGAAAAGTATTATTTGTCAACTTGCATGAAAACTAGAAAGTACAATGTATTTTTGTCATTCTATCATTATCTTCAAGATAATCCTTGTCTTCAAGATAATAATAATAGTTATATACTTTCAAATATGATTCTTAATCAAATTCAAACTTCAAAAAAGAGAATGAGTTTGATTGAAACTTTATTCCTCACATGTGAAAGGATTTTGACACTATAAATATCGACTTTAGTATATACAAAAAGGAGAAAGAAAACAAATATGGAAGGAATAATATCAGTTTTCCCAACAATGATCGTCTGCATCAATCTTCGCTCACGAAGTTTGCAACGGTAGTCCAACAACAGGTAAGTCATTTCATCCCCTCCTTTTTTACTTTTAATGACCATTTTTCCTATAGCAAGGGTGTGCGAGTAGCTCGCACACGCTTACAAAGAAAAATATATTAGTCGAGTTACTAGTCTAAACTAGTAACCAGCCCGGTTTGGCTAGACCATGCAGGGCTAGATCTAGCCTAAAAAGAAGAAAAAAAAATGGGTCAGGTTTGGGCTCTAGGCTTAACCTGCCTAAATTATGTTTATTAAGGGTATGCTTGACAAAACACACCCTTAAACCTTGACCATAATTTTTATTTTTATTCTAATTTGATATTTGACCAAATAAATTCCTTTTCGATAACAAAAAATCCCAAAAATATTTGGGGGCCTTCATTTATTTATTTGTGGGCCCCTCACACTTTGTTTTATTTTTTTCTGTGTTTATATTTTTTTTTGTAAAAGTACTCAATCTATGGACTATTATTGTTAAATGCAAATATATCGTACAATATTTTTTTTACTTTCATCTAAAAAGAAAAAATAATAATAAAAGATAAATAAGAAAAAAATGACATAGAAAATTTCTTCTTTAAATTTATTTTTAGCGAAAATATTTACTAACGTCAAAGTCAAAAGTATTGTATTTTTTGGATTTGTGCGATATTTACCAACGTCATAGTTAAAAATATTCATGGAATTGTTCACTGATGCCAGAGTTAGGAACATGAAAGGAAGAATAAAACAGGGAAAAAGGATAATAAATTCTTAACAATTTTAGACAAAATCAGCATTACAGCTTGCTTTAGCTAAGATGTTTAAGGGGTGATAGCATATTCCTTTTTGTGTAACCAGTCACGTGTTATAGAATCTCTATTGACCAATTAGGGTTCCTGATGACCGTAATACTAGGTGTCAACTCCTTAAACAAGACATTTCCCCTAGAAGAACAAGATGTTAGATATCTGTTCTTTTTCCATATTGAGATTAAATTTTAATTGGTCATAGCAATATCCAAGTGTCATAAAATGAAGACTCCACTGGGGACCCTAAGACTAAGCTTTGTTATTTGTCTTTTTATTGCTAAAAAATATTTTTCATATGATTTTCTTTATTGTTACTATGTTTTCTTTATCAAGTTTTATTTTTATTTTTTATTTTTTTGCACTTTTTACTATTTTAGCATGTATAGTTATTCATATTTATTGACACGACTAAAAGATTGATGTCTTCTCCCAAGTGCAGGAGTGTCGAAGTAAAAAATAACCCGGCAAGACCGGGGTCGAACCACAGGGAGGTTAATTATACAAATTATAAACAACAATTATAAAACAACAATAACAACAACAGTA